TCGCTTCCACTTCGTGGCGGCGAGACAAATATGACCTGAATGTGAATCTAAAACTTCGTCAGTCTCCACCTGTCCACGTTGTTAGCAAGTCTGGATGTGTCCGGGAAGGGACCAGTTATTGCTGCCGGCTGCTGTCGAAAGCTTTTGATGATTACTATTTATCAACTACGTACAAGTTTGATGACCAATTACTAGCGGTCAAATGCTAGGTAATAATTGGAAAGATGCATTATCTGATTGCGGTAGATCTACTTCCACTTCGTTTCTTGATTTGAAATTATCTGAGGGAAATGTTTAAATGTGAAGTATATTGAATTAGACAATGAACAAATGTCCGAATATTAAACTGCCTTGTCATGCAAACTTCCCAACAATTATTGATCAATATAAGTGCACTTTAAGTAGGCGAGTCCTGTAATAATAAAATATCATAATAAAATAAGATTGGTAAAGATTTTATCATCGTTTGTCTCTTCTGTTCCTATTTTCTTTTCGCCATGTGCTACGGTTTTGATCATGTGTTGACAGTTTTCCTTTTAAACAGACCACTGTTAACCAATAAATAATACGGGAAATGAAATTTTCTGAGTAGAAAACTACAATCAAGTCAGACAATTTTACATCGGGACAGCGCAGAAGCACATCTCGCAAATATATATTAATACTTTTTGCCTAAAACTTGCAAATGAAGATACAAATATATTGTTTACAAAAATGACAGTAATTTATTTCAAATATCACTCTGCCTTGCAAAATCATGACCAGGTTTTCGCTCGTTACTATTTTTGTTTTTGACAGAAGGATATCACACCAACCTATCGATATTCCAAGGGCCACTGAACCATATTTAGACAAAACCTGGGTTTTTTCTGAGGAGGGGGATTTAGACTAGTCGTTTTCATCAAAGAAAGGTGACAATTCCTTCAAATATAATTGCTCCCTTAATTTCACATAAAATAACTGATATTTTATCCTTGAATAACAAGTACTACTTGCCTTTCACTTACGTTATGAAACATTTTGTCGGTACCAGTATTTAACCAGCAGCGAAGAAGTATTTCAAAGTAAAATGTCAAACGTATGCTCTTGTTACAAAACTTCGACGCTACAAGAAATGTGTTTTGAGTATTTTAGTTTTAACATGAGAATGATTTTACAATACGGGCCCTGACTTCAATTTGTCACATTGCGAAGTCTACCACGAGAATACTCATCCACTGTTTTCATTTGTGATATATACATTTTCAGCTAATTGACTAAAAAAAACTCATGTCACGTAGTACAGAGAAAGCTTGCCTTTCTGTACCACGTTTTCGGCTCTTGTTTTCAGTTTGTTAATAATAACCTTCAAGGTGAATATATTTTAACAAACCAGAAAATACGCTGCTATCACCGAAGACCAAATACTATTACTCGATCACCTGAGCATACTGTTTAACATTCCAATGTACTTCACGTTTGAAGGTCATTTCTTTGAACAAAATTCGATAGCCTTGTTATCCTAGCAAGCTACAGGCCAAATTTCACTACTTTATGCCTTACTGGTCTTTAGAAAAATTCGACTGGATTTTTATTTTTAACAAATTAGATCCCTGCAACCTAGAATGTAGGTCAATGGTATCTATTTTGACAAACTTGATTAACTTGCACACCAGTAATATCATTACCTCTGACGTTATGAATCTTTAAAGCCGTTTGAAGATTTTAACACGTTTGAGGCGTGCGTGGGTCAATCCATTTCCTAAAACACATTTGAGTCTGGGCTTTATAGGCCCCAATAAAAACGTTGTTTGAAGGGTTGATTTGTTATCAAACTTGGCAATGTCCTTGCCATTAACAAAATACAAAATCAAAAAGACGCTAGTCTCTGATTTTTCTGAGTATTCGTAATGTTTCATACAGTCTGTAAACTGTAATAGTTGTTTATCTAGCGTCACACTTCCACAATTGATACAATTTTGGCAGTTTGTTACAGAGATATTTAAAAAAAAAAATAGACACTGCATCCGAGACGTTTCTTGATTCTTGACAAAGATTACCCGTGCTGGTTCATTTTCATGAACGTTTTGATTCTCAGTAATTTGTTTTTTAAAATAGAACGCAAAAGTTCGGAGCGAGATTTCACCCGTTTTTCGGTCATGATTAGTACCCACAATGGCCAAATTGGTAATCCAGATCACAGGCTATTAAACTCGTTTTAATTTCTACTAGTTGACGTAATGATTGCAACAAAATATCTTGCTTTTATAAACACCACACTGAACTACAATTGTACATAAACTTTTATATTATCCGGTTTTAAGGACCAGAAATCAACATTTAAATATGCCAATAAGTTACCCCTCCTTAATCATCCAAAAGTCGACTTACGGTTTTTTCCCTGGTTTTCTGGCATATCTAATTTGAAGTCATTGTGTTCTCTGAAAAAGTGGCTGAAAAACAAAGCTATTTGTTGGAAATGATGAAAAACATCAATTTTATTAAACCATCAGACAAAATACAAAATCTATTCGAACCATTTTCTGACCGTATACCGATTTGGGTAGTGTACGGACCGTATACCGATTTGGGTAGTGCACGACTTGTGGTAGCGTGACGTTGATGTCACACTTTGTGTAATTCGTGTGAATCATCTTTATTATTCCTAACTGAATTTTAAATACCCTCTTTTATAACCACATAAACATAGTATAAGTGACTCTTAGCAGTCTATATTTCCATTTGCTCTGCATTGCCACTATATAACCTTATCAACGAAAATAGAAAGATACCAGATCATAATTCTCACATCATTCCCATTGGTGTAGTGATATGAAGAACATGTTGGTGACGTCCTGACTAAATGACGTCGTTTTGACCGATGATCAATTTAACTTGCAACAATTTATGTAGTTATGTTGTATAAAAGGTAAATATCCTCACGGAGGAATACATTGATTAAAATGTTGAAGTTAGATTAATGATTTTGTGTTTATTTCCACAAACTATATTGTTTTGCTGTGAACGGTCGCGTATACTCATGACGTCACAAGAGCAAGTCCCAATGACAGACAGCGCGAAATTTGACTTTAAAAATGCGATAACAGGTTGGAAATATAAGAAAAACTTGAATTAAAAACGGAAATATATATATTAAACTGCTTTCTTTGGAAAGTTATTGTCCTATAATTCTCACAGGATTGCAGAAAAATTAATCATAACTTGCTAACGCGCATTAATCAATTTGTCTGCTATCCTGTGAGATTTATAGGACAATAACTTTCAAAAGAAGCCAGATTAATGCTTAAATAAAGGAAACACACATTCTACATTTCATAGAATAATACCCTTTCCAGAACATTTTTGAGCTTCTTCCCTGCTCCAGTCTCAATAAGGAATGATTGTCTTCCATTTTGAATGATTTTTGTACACAACAACATGAACATCAGCAATGTTTGACTGTGTATATTATAGGTGTAACTGCCAGGTTTAAGAAGGGTGGAGTTAAGCCCCCTGAATAAATAATGTGTCTTCAATATGGTTCTTATTGTAAATAACCTAGTTATGTGCCTCAAAAGATTTATTCATAAGAACATGAACTCTTAAAGTGAACAATAACAAGCATAAATCGTTAAAGTATATCAGTATAAATAATAAAATGTGAGGTATTTGAAGTCTCGATATATTCGCTTCACGATTTTGCAGCATCACCGAGATCATATTGTAAAATGACTAATTCCAAACTTGAACAGGTTTGTGCACACATGGTCATTCAGAATGACTTTGTATGAACATGTAATCATAGGTTGGACTGGAACAGTTTGAACACTGCCTTGTGTCAATCACACTGAAGCAAGCATTGGTGAGCTAAATAGGATTTCATCAACGTATCAGCGCAGTAGTTCATATTAAACCATCATGAGTGGGTACAGATAAAATCATATTCCAGTATAAGACAATTCACTGGATGTTCACCATTTTATATACCAGTACATATCTAATTAAAAAAAAAATCAGGTACTGTACTCTTGAACCAACAAGCATTTTAATTTTGCCAAAAACCTTAACAATCAAAACAATAACAAAAATGTTTTATCTCATTAAGTTATCATTGCAAGCAATAACATGTCCATATTTTCTATAAAATTCTATATTTCACCTCTTCACAATTGTCTGAAAATAATAACAGGTAAATAAAGTTAAAGTTATGAAACACTGTCATCCGTAACAATCCAGCTGTTTATCAATATTGACATCACTGTGTAGTGTAAACAGCTGTCACGGTACAATTCACGCTTATTGGGATATTAATTGATGAAATAAATCATTAAATGAAGTTAATTTTTTCAAGTTTACAAAAATGTCACCTTTATCCTCACACTCCGTTAAAGTTGAAAATATAATCAAAGCAGCACTTCTATGATACAAAGACAATGTCACACACAGAAACTATCAAACTCAACATATACTTCCTACTTCAAACCTCCACAACGATAAATGGAATATTTTGTAGTGAAAATATTAACTGCAAATTTTTAATCATTGTAACGACTTCACCAATGCACTGTAATAAATGTGAAATGTAATTGTGATCTTGATCCATGTAAGGCAACAAGATTGATGTCGGAGCACTACAAGATTGAAGTCGGAGCACTATCTCTATCTGAATATCAATTTCAAGGACATGAGCTTGCTCCGACATAAATCTTGTAGTGCACAGACATCAATCTTGTATTGCTCCGACATCAATCTTGTAGTGCCCCGACATCAATCTTGTAGTGCACAGACATCAATCTTATAGTGCTCCGACATCAATCTTGTAGGGCACAGACATCAATCTTCTAGTGCTCCGACATCAATCTTGTAGGGCACAGACATCAATCTTCTAGTGCTCCGACATCAATCTTGTAGTGATACGACATCAATCTTGCTCCGACATCAATCTTTTAGTGCTCCGACATCAATCTTGTAGGGCACAGACATCAATCTTCTAGTGCTCCGACATCAATCTTGTAGTGCACTACAAGATTGATGTCGGAGCACTACAAGATTGATGTCGGAGCACTATCTCTATCTGAATATCAATTTCAAGGACATGAGCTTGAACCAAAACAAAACCACCAAGAACGTATTTGTATGTGAATGGAATATCCTGGAAAACTATATAAGTATGGCTCTTACATTCTGTAAGTCTACATATATGTATCATTTTTAAAAGAACATAAATAATTAACTGTACAGTTGGTAATATTCGCAGGGGATTTAATTTCGCTACATTTGTGGTCACAAAAGATAAGTGCGAAATTAAATGCCCAGCAATTATTTATACTATGAATGATAATCTTTGTAGATAGATCCTGATTGTAATGCAAGTAGCCATTAAATGTCACTAAAGTTTCTGACTGTCCCAGATTTAATCTGAATGTCTCTCAGTTGTGCTGTCAACAGATTGAAATAATGTTTAATTCACTTATTACCTTCCTCAAAGTCACTCTCTGGAGAGAAGGTATCACCGAAATGGTTGTCAATGGAGGGATAGCGCCACCTTATTCTGGCCACCACACAGCTGGGAGGTTTGGGTACCTCTATTTCCCCTTTACCAAGGTTGTGCCATTGCCACAAGATGAAGCAGCGATACGCTTGTCGTCTGTATTGTGCGTTGGAGACATTGCCGAGCTCTGAAAAGCTTTCAGCTGGTAACCCTAAGTCTAGTATACCCATGAGAAGGTGGTCTGGCCTGAGACACACACTGCGAAACATGGGGTGAAAACTGAGGCAGGGTTTCTGAGCACAGCACATCTCCATACTGCTGTTGTCCATCTCTACACACTGGGTACAAGAGCACCATTTAGGGGGCGTGTCGATCTGGACTCGATGGTAGGGGGCGTTGTCTGGGCTTACGTACGACTCCACATGGACAGGGTCATCTTCCAGCATCTGTAGCAGCGTGCTCCGTGCATTTTCAAGCGACATCCCCATTATTTCTTGCTGAAACAATTACAATGAGACATCCATAAATTTGCTTGTTTGGAATGTTATGCTCACTAATATATATCATATTAAATGATGTAAGTTATGCTAGTATGCAGTATAACTTACATCATTTAATATGCTCAATAATATATATCATATTAAATGATGTAAGTTATGCTAGTATGCAGTATAAACCGGCATAATAATTAACCCGGTGCCAGCCAACCTAGTCCACCAGGTGTTTTGTGTTAAGTATCAAATAAGTTTAACACAGTACATGTTTTATCAAAATGGTTCAATAGGTGAATATAAACTGACCATAAAAACTACCTAAAATCTTGTTTTTTATATAAATATAGCCTAATGGACCAAGCTGCTCTGCAGACTGAGGCCATAACTTTTATCTATACCCTGTTGAGTGTTCATTTCCTTTGTCAGTGACCCCTTCATCATCAACAATAGAGCAGTCCTTTAAACGTCTCAGTTTATTACTCTTGTTTGATCCCATCCTGGTGTGGGGGAACATTATCTTCATTTATACAACATTTAAGTCTCCTTGCTAAGTAGGCAATCAAACAACATCCCTATTTCCCTATTTGGCCGCAAGGAAATGGAGCATTTTTCTTATATGATATTGAATTCGGTTTCCAGGGTACCCCATACCAAATTAGGTCAAAATTCTTTTCCCTAATTCTAGAAGATGGTATTATCGGGTAAATATGTACATTTCATTACTGCAGCCCCACTCCCCTAACCCTAAGGCACCTTTGAAACTTCTTAATTAATGACCACAAAATGTAAGTCTAACTGACTTTAATTTTGCTACAATTTTATGACAACTGGCTTGTTTGACCTGTATTTTTTATGACGATTATCATCTCAGCTGTATTTTTAAGACACTATAAGATTACTTCCTCATCTACATTCTTATGACAACTGCATAAAATTTCATTTGTATTCTGTAGGGAAACTGATTACAATATCTAACGAAGATTTTTATGACAACTAGCTTACCATTATTATAAAAACGAATCATTGTAATCTTGTCTTATTTCAGGACAACTTTGTAAGCATAGCATAATCTCACCTGCATTTTCAGGACAACTGAATTTTCTTGAAAGACTTCCAGCTCTGCTTCTCTGTTCAGCTGTTCATTGAGTGATAATTCGTCTGGATTAATCCGAATGTTACGAATACTTTTGGCAGCATATGGAGATCCTTTGCACCTTCTCATCCTCTTCTTCTTCTTTTTAACTTGTCTTAAGGGTTTGAAATTGCCCTGACAGAAAGGTGAATGTCAAATATATTACTTCTTTGAAGATTTATATTGCCTAGAATTTTATTTTGCTTTGGAGTTTTGACTCATACATGTACCAAACTTAAATCACATGTATTTACAGCAGAACAGATGTATGTTCTAACTTCTTTGATCATAAACTGTCTGCTAATGATGCATTCACTAAAAGGTAAGAATTGTAAATATGCCTTTGACACATCTCCGAGTCCCTGACAACTTAAACTCACCTCCGAGTCCCTGACTACTTTAACTCACCTCCAAGTCCCTGACAACTTTAACTCACCTTCGAGTCCTGACTACTTTAACTCACCTTCGAATCTCCGACAACTTTAACTCACCTTTGAGTCCTGACTACTTTAACTCACCTCCGAGTTCCTGACCACTTTAACTCACCTTCGAGACCTGACTACTTTAACTCACCTTCGAGTCCTGACTACTTGAACTCACCTCCGAGTTCCTGACCACTTTAACTCACCTTCGAGTCCTGACTACTTTAACTCACCTTCGAGTCCTGACTACTTTAACTCAACTCCGAGTCCCTGACTACTTTAACTCACCTCTGAGTTCCTGACTACTTTAACTCACCTCAGAGTCCCTGACTCCTTTAACTCACCTCAGAGTCCTGACTGCTTTAACTCACCTCCAAGTCCCTGACAACTTTAATTCACCTTCGAGTCCTGACTACTTGAACTCACCTCCGAGTCCCTGACTCCTTTAACCCACCTCAGAGTCCCTGACTACTTTAACTCACCTCCGAGTCCCTGGCTACTTTAACTCACCTCAGAGTCCCTGACTCTTTTAACTCACCTCAGAGTCCTTGACTCCTTTAACTCACCTCAGAGTCCCTGACTATTATAACCCACCTCAGAGTCCCTGACTACTTTAACTCACCTTCGAGTCCTTGACTCCTTTAACCCACCTCAGAGTCCCTGACTACTTTAACTCACCTTCGAGTCCTTGACTCCTTTAACTCACCTCAGAGTCCCTGACTATTATAACCCACTTCAGAGTCCCTGACTACTTTAACTCATCTCAGAGTCCCTGACTACTTTAACTCATCTCAGAGTCCCTGACTACTTTAACTCATCTCAGAGTCCTTGACTCCTTTAACTCACCTCAGAGCCCCTGACTACTTTAACTCACCTCCGAGTCCCTGACAACTTTAACTCACGTCCGAGTCCCTGACAACTTTAACTCACCTCAGAGTCCCTGGCTACTTTAACTCACCTCCGAGGCCCTGGCTACTTTAACTCACCTCCGAGTCCTTGACTCCTTTAACTCACCTCAGAGTCCTTGACTCCTTTAACTCATCTCAGAGTCCCTGACTACTTTAACTCACCTCCGAGTCCCTGGCTACTTTAACTCACCTCAGAGTCCTTGACTCCTTTAACTCATCTCAGAGTCCCTGACTACTTTAACTCATCTCAGAGTCCCTGACTACTTTAACTCATCTCAGAGTCCCTGACTACTTTAACTCACCTCCGAGTCCTTGACTCCTTTAACTCACCTCAGAGTCCCTGACCACTTTAACTCACCTTCGAGTCCTGACTACTTTAACTCACCTTCGAGTCCTGACTAGTTTAACTCAACCTGACTCCTTTAACCCACCTCAGAGTCCCTGACTACTTTAACTCACCGCCGAGTCCGTGGCTACTTTAACTCACCTCCGAGTCCCTGGCTACTTTAACTCACCTCAGAGTCCTTGACTCCTTTAACTCACCTCAGAGTCCCTGACTACTTTAACTCCCCTCCGAGTCCCTGACAACTTTAACTCACCTCAGAGCCCCTGACTACTTCACCCCCGAGTCCCTGGCTACTTTAACTCACCTCCGAGGCCCTGGCTACTTTAACTCACCTCCGAGTCCTTGACTCCTTTAACTCACCTCAGAGTCCTTGACTCCTTTAACTCATCTCAGAGTCCCTGACTACTTTAACTCACCTCCGAGTCCTTGACTCCTTTAACTCACCTCAGAGCCCCTGACTACTTTAACTCACCTCCGAGTCCCTGGCTACTTTAATTCACCTCCGAGTCCTTGACTCCTTTAACTCACCTCAGAATCCCTGACTACTTTAACTCACCTTCGATTCCTTGACTCCTTTAACCCACCTCAGAGTCCCTGACTACTTTAACTCACCGCCGAGTCCGTGGCTACTTTAACTCACCTCCGAGTCCCTGGCTACTTGAACTCACCTCAGAGTCCCTGACTACTTTAACTCACCTCCGAGTCCCTGACAACTTTAACTCACCTCAGAGTCCCTGACAACTTTAACTCACCTCAGAGTGCTTGACTCCTTTAACTCACCTCAGAGTCCCTGACTACTTTAACTCACCCCCCTGACTCCTTTAACTCACCTCAGAGTCCCTGACAACTTTAACTCACCTCCGAGTCCCTGGCTACTTTAACTCACCTCCGAGTCCTTGACTCCTTTAACTCACCTCAGAGTCCCTGACCACTTTAACTCACCTTCGAGTCCTTGACTCCTTTAACTCCTTCGAGTCCTGACTTCCCTGACTACTTTACCTCACCTCCGAGTCCTTGACTCCTTTAACTCACCTTTGAGTCCCTGACAACTTTAACTCACCTCAGAGTCCCTGACTACTTTAACTCACCTCAGAGTCCCTGGCTACTTTACCTCACCTCCGAGTCCCTGACTCCTTTAACTCACCTCAGAGTCCTGACTGCTTTAACTCACCTCCAAGTCCCTGACTACTTTTACTCAACTCCGAGTCCCGGACTACTTTAACTCACCTCAGAGTCCTCGACTCCTTTAACTCACCTTTGAGTCCCTGACTACTTTAACTCACCTTAGAGTCCCTGACTCCTTTAACTCACCTCAAGAGTCCTTGACTCCTTTAACTCACCTCAGAGCCCCTGACTACTTTAACTCGCCTCCGAGTCCCTGACAACTTTAACTCATCTCAGAGTCCCTGGCTACTTTACCTCACCTCCGAGTCCCTGACTACTTTAACTCACCTTAGAGTCCCTGACTCCTTTAACTCACCTCCAAAGCCCTTGACTCCTTTAACTCACCCCCGAGTCCTGACTACTTTTACTCAACTCAGAGTCCCTTACTACTTTAACTCACCTCCGAGCCCTGACTACTTTTACTCAACTCAGAGTCCCTTACTACTTTAACTCACCTCCGAGCCCTGACTACTTTTACTCAACTCAGAGTCCCTGACTACTTTAACTCCCCTCCGAGTCCCTGGCTACTTTAACTCACCTCCGAGTCCCTGGCTACTTTAACTCACCTCAGAGTCCCTGACAACTTTAACTCACCTTCAAGTCCTGACTACTTTAACTCACCTCCGAGTCCCTGACAACTTTAACTCACCTCCGATTCCCTGACTCCTTTAACTCACCTCCGAGTCCTTGACTCCTTTAACTCACCTCCGAGTCCTGACTACTTTTACTCAACTCAGAGTCCCTGACTACTTTAACTCACCTCCGAGTCCCTGACAACTTTAACTCACCTCAGAGCCCCTGACTACTTTAACTCACCTCCGAGTCCCTGACAACTTTAACTCACCTCAGAGTCCCTGGCTACTTTACCTCACCTCCGAGTCCCTGGCTACTTTAACTCACCTCCGAGTCCCTGGCTACTTTAACTCACCTCCGAGTCCCTGTAGCGACATTCGTTGTTGTTACATCCTAAACAGCCTGTTAATTTACACTGACACTTCCCACAAGTTCCTGTCCTGTGGCACGGACAACAGGGATTATCCAGCTTCTGCAAAAACAAATAGTAAAATAGATACAGTGAAACCTGTCTAAAAGTGTCCAGTTAGGACTCATTAATAAAAATTTAGACATTCATAATGTTTAATTTACTGACCGGTCACTATATAAGCATATGTGATATAAAAAGATTAAACACAAGGGATGACAAAGTGTCTTTTAAAGGTTGAAATTAATTCACAAGTTAGATAAATGCATTACCAAACATTTTGAGTAAGGGAAACTTTTTCATTCAAAACATTCATATTATGTCCAAATACACTTTTTCAATCAACTTTACCTTCCAACTTGACAGAAACAAGCGCAAAGAATTATGATAATAATTACTCTATTTAGCATGATGGCGAAATACAATGTGAATCAGCGTTGTTTGGTATGGTCAAATGAAAGGGCATGAGAAAGCCTGTAGCAGTTTTGTGGAATGAAAACAATTTTGATTGTGGAAACATTGTTCCAAAGAACATACCGGAACCTTGAAGATGGGATGGTTTTGATGGACTTCAGTTCTGGGCACGGTCACATATATACGTCTCTCTTGACGAAGTCTCATTTTGAACTTTTGTATTAGCCCCAAACCACATTTGAGGTTTTTTGACATCTCAACTCTTTTCTTTTTGGTATCAGCCTGCAAAGGACAAATACATCTTATTAAATAAAAACACAAGCACAGAATTACAAAAAAGGTATAAAACACACATAACAATCCAGGACAACTTTGTCCATACAAAACAAGTAGTCTTCTGAATGCTTATATTAGGCTCCAGTCCTCACGGCAAGCTCAAAGCATCAACATTAAGCTCAGGTTATTTTTATTGACTGACTAGTTTCAACACTAAAGTTGACGTAATTCCAACCAACTTTGAATTATTTCTTCTGAAATTAAACCAAAAGACGTCCAGGTGATCTTTTTTCCTGCACCTTGTAAAATTCAAGTAAGCTTTAAGGCTTCTCCAAAAGAAAAATACCCCTTTTGTTTTTTCTGGTGATCTCTAATGCCTAGAACTGTTAATCATCAAAGAGTTATACCCCTTTGATTGTACCTAATTAAGATCTAATTCTAGGACTGTTATTTTTGCAAGAGTTATATCCCTTTGATTTTACAGCCGATCTAATAAGATAATTAAAAATGTTGCATCACTAAACTGTCTATTGATTGTGAAAACAACTAATAATATGTCATCAACATCAGATAAGGGGTCATCAACATCAGATAATATGTCATCACCATCAGATAATATGCCATCAACATCAGATAATATGTCATCAACATCAGACAATATGTCATCAACATCAGATACAGTTAGAATTACGCCCAAGTATCCACCTAGGTTCAGTTCGTTCTGCGTGCGGCTTGCGTGCGGTTAGCGGTAGTCTAGCGTCTAGAAAGCGATCGTTCACCGTTCGAGCACCGTTCGTATGTTTCGTCTGTTTGGTTCGTATCAGCTAAATCGTTCCGTTCGGTTATTTCGACCGTCCCTATCGTCCAATTATTTCATTGGGTCGTTTAGTTCGGCTACTCCGTCCGGCTGTTCCGTCCGGCTGTTTAGTTCGATCGTCTAACTTACTCCGTCTTTTTGGGTTAGGATGCGCACGCAGTTTATCAATTCATTATGATAGAACTGCAGAATATCTCACGTTTATCTTCAGAATTACGAACCTCAATTATCAGATACAGTGACAAAGGCTACGCTATTAGAAAGATTATTCGTT